AAAAAAAAAAAAAAAAAAAAGAAACTGAATCATGAAAAATAGAACGGTACATTTTCAATTGAAGCAAATAGTGGAAATTTCTCGTGAGGAGGACGTTTTGACGGATCATTTCTACAAGTTGTTCTCATGCGATTTCCTTCAAACAAACTTCCTTCTCCTTCAGCATTTCTTTCGAATAAAAGAGAAATGGCACATTGCCACTGATCCAGCGTGCTAATTTTTCACGTTCCTCCGATAAATCTCTGGAATTGTTTTGGTATACCATGGGTACTCGATACGCGTGAAACGCGCTCGAAGAATTTCACGAATTTCTCGAAAATTCAGTCAAGCACCGATAATAAATTTGATCCTCGATTCACACGTTATTAAAATATACGTCGAAAAAAAAAAAAAAAAAAGAAAATGAGGATAAATCCAAATTGAACGAAGATCCACTCTTGTTTGACCTTCGTGGGGGAGAGAAAAACAAAGGATATACATATACAAGCTGTTAACGATGAGAGACACTGACGGCGACAAAAACAGAACAGATGGACTTTGCCAGATGTCACTGCAATGGGATCGTCGTAATCTTGCCGTTCCTCTAGCTTGAAAGCCGACCTCTAAAAAGGATCTTGGTATAAAATGGTGTAGAGTTTTGACGATTGGTGTCGATAATGGAAACAACAATAGTTTTATTTCTATCCACGAACGGTGTGGCTTCATCGTGCGTCCGCCATGCAATTACATCCTAATGGCACTTTGCGTTCAATGCTAAAATTAACCAGCATTCGAGGATGAAATAAACGAACGAAAGGAATGATATACACATAATGGGATCACCTGATACTAATATTATCTTGCTTTTGATATTTCATATTCAAATATATAATCGGAAAATTTCTTTATTTCGTAGAAGAAAAAAATATAAGCTATTAACAAATAAAACGTGAAATTTCATTTTTTCGAAAGATCACTAATTTAACTTTTCGCCAATAAACTTTTAATCATTTTTCTTACTTTATAAAATTTATTTTCCTTTCTTCAAGCTTTATCTTTTTATCATTCCTCATTGTAAGTTTCTTTAAGACCTATTGTAAGTTCCCTATCTGTATACGTTATCGCAGCGCCAATCGCCGAGCTGTATGTTTTGATGTCGCTTTGTTCGTGGAATATGAAATATTGAACGTAAGCAATGAAACTCTTCAACTATGTATTATCAACAGGCCAACAAAAAATCAATATTGAGAGACTGAGAAACAAACGTGTGTACACAATATATATATATATAAAATCATACAATTATAAAAGTCAAATTTTGAATAAATTTTGAATAAGAAAAGAAACAAGTATAGCCTTATATTCCTTTAATAAATTATTTAATTCATTCTCATTGACTAATCTCGTTGGATAATCATGAAAGTTATATTGTCTATTGTATACGTGTTACGTATACGTATTTATATCGATACAGATGGCATAGTGAAAGAAACGGAGAGAGAGAGAGAGAGAGAAAGCGACTGGAAAGGTACCGCTGTAACGTATACATATAAACTTACCAGTACTCATTAGAACCTGTATCGTAATCTGTTGTTAAAAGCATTAGCAGTCGAGCAGAGAAAGTTTTCAGACTGAATTCAACGAACAGGCTAAATTCTCTTTCTTTCTCTCTCTTTCTCTGCCCTCGAATTTTTTCTCTCGAAATATTGCAGTTTTGATTATTACGAAAATTTAAGATCTGTATTCTTTTTGCGGGTAACTACACTATTTCAAGTATATTTTGATCAAATATATTCCTCTCCTATTGTGCAAATGTGTATTATTGAATGTAATACGTAATAAAAGAAATATAAATGTTTGTAATGCAGTCTCTTTCACACTCAATTTCTTTTAACTTTTTGAATTTTCAATCAATATCACAACTAAGTGTACATCCGATGTACATCCGGTTTAGATTTTTAAAGTTTCAATATTTCTCGAAAAGGAATTCTTCCTTCAGAAGATTCTTATTCTTTATTTTCAATGCAAATATCTAATCTACATTTTTGTGATATATTTCATATTAGCAGGTAACTTGAATAATGTTTATGAACGGGGGTGTACGCAAGATATTGGCGATGTTTATTTTAAATGATGCGATGGTTATTTTCACGGAATGACGTAATGACAATAATAAAGGAATGACATTAAATATTAGCAATCCTTCGCGGTTCTTATGAAATCTTGCGTTCGAAGCGACAACCAGAGATTACAATTTAACTTCTAATATCATGTTGCAATCGTTTAGTAAACATGGTGCTAAATAACCGATTGGATCTCGCAATCAACTAACGATCAATTTGGTTTCAAGATAAATTGCCAAAGTTTCGTGATAAAATTTCACTCCTCTCATGTTTTGAATGTCAATAATGTTTTTTCTCTCTCTCTTTTTTTTTTCAACCTCTTATAATGCTTAAATTATAATTTTAAATTTAATTTTACCCTAACAAACGTTTTACCCTTTTTTTAATCTTTAAATCTTTCTTATTTTAAAACAATATCTTATCTTTAAAAACAATATTTAATAACAATAACGCTTTTCAAAAACGGACTTTTAAAAAAACGCTTTTAATAAACATAGATATAGAAATGACTGTCATTAAATTTCTGAATACGAGATACGATAAAATTTCTAAAGTTTTAATTTTAGTAATCAAACATTTAAAATATAAAAAAATTTTTGCAAAAAAAATAATCAATCAATTAATGTCCACTATGGATAAGATATTAATTGTTATAAGTGTACGGTAGGTTCTTGACCGTATTATATTGGTGATGTGAAAGTCTGAGAAACGTGTAAACTTCATGAATTGTAGATATCAGTAAGATAGAAATTGTATCGTTAAAATATACATGTATCTTTCTTAAATAATTGTCATCAAAACACATTTTTCTTTTGTTATTCCTTTTTCCTTTTCTAATTCACTTTACAATATAGATTTTGGAAAATTATTATTTATATATGTATATATATATATATGTATTATTATATATTCTTTATACATATTACATACACTATTTAGCTTTACATTTTAAAATTTTTATCTAATTAACATCTGTAATCTATTTCTGTTGATCATATAAAAGAAATATAAAGAAAAATATAAACTTCATGAACTTTGAATACAATATTATAAACCGCATCAAAATATATATGCATTTTTTTTGTAATATTCATCATTATATTAAAACATAAACAATAATTCATTTTTAATTTCATGGAATTTATTACGATGGATTTATCGCGTTATTTTTTCTGATTTCTTGATTATCTTAAATTATTGAATTAATCTTAAATATTTTAATCCGTACAATAATAATATGAATGAAAGATGACAGATAATTGATGTTAAATAAGATATTACGCTACAATGATATACAAGGTGTATAAATTCCAATCAAACTTTATCAATGTATTCTATTGATACGAAATAATAGAAATATTTTATATAAATATTTTATATTAAAAAAGTTATAACAAGTTATATACAAGCTTTATTCAATTCAAATAACATTTTACGTTAACAAAATTTATAATCATTTTATAAATAAATATTTCATTCGATTCATTTTTAAATAATTTTTGATTTCTAATACAACTAATATAACTAATACTAACTTAAATAGATAGTTAAAGCACAAGTTGTGTTTTGTTGTGTTCTATTCGCTCGTAACGTTACGCGTAAGGTCGTTAACTCACTAATACATAGTATATCGATAGACTAAATGTAATCTAATTTCCATAAACCGAAGGAGGCTTTCAGTACAAACGGATAACTCGTAAATCGATAGGCTTGGAAAGGTTGTACCGAAAAGATAGTTATTGTTCGCGATTGCTGCACGCGATGTCAGCATTGTTCTCATTGTTAGTGGCCAAGTCCGTTTACAGACTAGGTTTGAAGAAATCGAGTATGATATAGATACATGACCTTATTTTAAACCTTTAAAACTTTATGCATGTTGAATGTATGTAATGATAATGTTTGTGAATAAAAGCCAAGTCTAAAATGAGATTAGCCGAATAGAATTACGATAAAAAATAGATGTAACTAAACACAAATGAAAACATTAGAAAAATGTAGCCTATAATTATCGTATTTGTATTATAACTTTAACACCGAGATCAGAATGATCATGCTCATCGTAATAATAACGAACAAAACCTCCTAGCAACATCGTACGATTTTTATGAATGGATTTTATCCTTGCGATAATAAATATGCTCCCTTATTTGACTTACATCACTTAGATCATTATTGAACGTATTTTAATGCGATTATACATAACAATTAACAACGGAACATCGTTCGATTGAATTCAATCAGTGTTTTCATTTAAACACGTGTGAATACATAACTACGGATCGAACGACAGTACCGCTTGAACGGTCGGCCATTTTCGCTGCTTTGTTTACGAAGAAAGTATCAGATCGCGGTGAGCATAAATATGATGAAGTTCTTAATGCTTTCGTAAAAAAAATGCGAAATCTTATTCTCTTACTTCGAATTGCCAATGAGCCGCTTGTAGCAACTGTTTCGCTTGCTCCCTGGCACAACCTGCAGCCAGCACAAACTGATTGATCATCACCTGCTCGCGAAGGGTGTCCATTTTTTTCGTCACGTTTTATCGTAAAGGCAGAAAATATCAGAGAAGAATCAAAATCACACGAAACACTAGTATAGGCACAGTCTTCCGAATCACCAGGTTTCAACTCTGCCTTAAGTTTTCGTTTAGATGTGAGTGCAGCCTACAAGCGGCAAGCAGAGTCTTGTTTTGAAAACTAAACTCATTGCAGACGGCTGACGGGCACCGCGGGTTGCGGAACGTAAGAGACGAAGATGATGTGACGTCACTACCAGCTATTCACTAATCAGCGTACAGCTTCCCGTGTGTTTGGGAGCATTCTCTTTTCCGTACATACTCCCTATCTTCATTGTTTATTTTCAAACATAATAAATAATTCAAAATGTTGTAGATTTGATGAATAATACTATATTTGCAGCTAATTTTTTATTTTTGAATGTTATGTTCTTGTTTCGGTATAAGAATTGTGCACATTATTAAATTTTCAAGAAACTTTAACACAAAAATAATAATATAATTTGATGTTTGATTCTTTGGAAATACTTATTAGGTCACCTACCTCTATTCAAGAAAGTTTCTTAGTGTTGAATCTTTTTTAATCTAAAAGTTTTTAAGTTGACGAACCTGTTTAACAACATCTGTTATTAGTAATATAATTACAATGTAGTTTATTGAATTTAATTAAAAAAATAATATATTTTTTTATGAAATCAAAGATATTTGTCAAATAATATTATGTGAAAAAGTGTGTTATATATTAAATATGATAAAAATCAATCAATCAATCAAAATTTTCTAATTATAAAATAATATTAAAAAAATTATTTATATTATTTTATGTGTAATATAACTTTTTGTTTGATTCTTAAAAATAAATTATATAAAAAAAAAATAAATACTTCATTTATATGTGCATGATTTATATGATATATATAAATGTTCTACTGATTTTTTACATTTACAATTCTTAATGTATTATTCTGTATACATTTATTCATTTATTATAATATATAAAATTAATTCTATAGTAATTATAAAAAATTGTTTTAATAATCAATATAATTAAAATAATAATATATATATATATATATATATTATTATATATATATATATATATATATATATATATATT